AACTTCACCAGACTGCCAGCTCCTCACATATTTATTAATGCACAGTTATTGCTACATCAATGCCCAAAATGAGGCAAAAAGGAGCAATTAAAATAGGTCATGGGAGACAAAACTAGACAAAAAGTGCTTGCGATTTCCATGCAGTTTACCACACACACACCTGGGAACACCATCAACCACGAACAGTGGTCAATGGGGATCTGACCAATGCCCAACAAATTATAGTGCACCTCGTACTTCAAGGAGGATGCGAAATGCTGCACTGTCTCTCTTCCTACTGTGATTTTATTTCTTCAGCTTGCTGACCAAAATTGCGGAATTACTGAAAAATGGATCCTTGTGACATAAACCAAGTAAAAAACCAGATGCTGTTAGTGGACGATGAACAGGCACTATCCTGATGGAAAAGCAGTGCTAGTCCCAGTGACATACACTTATGGACGGCCTCCAACGAACCGATCCGAACCGCCACCGCCCCGCGTGCCTCCAGCCCCACAGTGGGGGAACCCAACGGGCAGTACTCGCGTGCCAGTGTTTGTTGAGCACAAACAGGTCGAATACAGACGGCCACACACTGCTGCACCGTGTATGAAGTACAAATGCACCACAGCCTAAGGGAGGATGACCACGGGTCCCATCTCCGAGCGCAGCAGTGGCAGCACCAGAGCTGTTACACAGCATCAGCTCCTCCAGCCTGCTGCTTCCATATGTGACTGCGTGGGGGACTCAGCCAGACTCCCTCCTCGGTCTTACGAGAGCCAGGCTGAGCAATCCCCCTCGAAGGCAAGACAGGCAGCACAGTGACAGGGGGGGCACACAGGCAGGAAAACAGACATGTAAAAGGCAGGAACTGTTCACTGCCCAGAGCCTCGCTTACCCAGGTGGTGGTTTTGGTATTGTGGTCGATAAAGAAGGGCCGCCCGTTGGGTGCTATTCGCATCTCCCAGCCCGGGGGAAGGAAGCTTTGTGCGACTTTGTGCTGGGGTTTGGGGGAGTTGTACGGGGAGGGCTGTGGGGACTGCGGGTTGGAAAGGGTGTCCTTCACTGCTCTGCGCACCGGCGAGTCCTTCATACCCTGAAATAACAAAGAGGTTACGATTTCTCCAGTGTAACTGGGGACTGTAACACGAATAATACGTGGTTTCACAGCAAAACGGTTTTGCATTCCAGACATAATTAACACTAGAACTAAGTGCTGGGACTGATTTCCCAGAAATTCCCAAGCTAAGTTCTGCTCCTGACAAGATGCCGAGCTTTTTGCTGGGAAAGCGCCAATTGTACCCCTTCCCCCTGCAGTGATGCTCTGCACAGCATTCACACTTCGTTATCTGTGTTGCTGCAGTTGCCCTGAGCATGTCGATACTGCAGGTTACACGGGAACACACACATTGCTCCCTGCTCCCTGGCGCAATCCCGTACTTTGCAAGGAGAGCGTCCCCTACGCGCCAGGTGAGGCTACCCACTTCTCAAGGCATCTCTCAACTGCAACTTCAGACAAAACAGTTAAACATGAACCTACAACAAGTTCCTAAAATAAACAGTTTGCAATTACGGATTTTGGCCAATTTCCACAAATGTGCTTCACTGATCAATGCTGATTGGTTAAAACCAGAAGTCGCATGATGTGGGGTTTGGTTTTTTTTCTAGTTTCACTGGGAAACTCAAGCTATTTATACATCTAAACAGGCAAACTCACCTCTGAAAAGACAGACTATTGCAGTCAGAAAACAAGACTTAAGTGCCACGTTTAAACCTTGTTTGCAATTGTACTTTTCTGTTGCTTTCCCCAAAGATGCTCTGTTTAAGCTGTCAACAGGGAGAGGGACACGCCTCATGTTTTAGTGTAAAATATTCAGAATATTTTAATTCAATTTATTTAAACTGCAGTAAATTCGATCTTTAGAACTGAAAACGGCAAGGGAAGTTGTGAGAAGTTTGTTTCTAAAGGGTTTATCTGGATTACACGTAAACAGAGATCATTTATGTTAAATATGAACTCTGGCTACAACCTGTCCAATCATCCCACCTCTGCTTAACAATTTGCTCGCTACCTTGAGTACTTTTCAGTATAAGGAAAAATGAAGAATTATGCACAAAATGAACTAAATGTTACAATCTCCCCTTGGCTGTTGGCAAACTCTGGCAGGGACCAAGTAGAAGGAGGCACAAGTAGGCGCCACACTGTGACTTGGAGGGTGAAATGTTTAAGAACTTGCCGTGTTTAACTGACTCCGGGGTTTCAGTCACACTTCCAGATGTAAAACACATGCCCTGTCTGTCTGTAAGGAGTTAGGCTGTTCCTCAGGTATGTGGCAGAGAACACCATTCAGCAGTGCTCCCAATTACAGAGACTCAAATGAGACCCCTTTTGACCGACAAGGACCGTAAGGCACAATCAGTATCTTAACTAAGACTTCCAAACTCAACCACCTGTATTATATTCAAAGTAATCAGCATCAACATAAAGGTTTCAGCTTAAAAGAATACCACAATCACGTTTCAGACTGTCACACAGATTACGTTGTAGCTTAACAGACCAAATACTCATATACATATGATTCCATGAAATTCACAAAATTGTGAACTCATACTGTTATAAAACAGAAAGACCCAGGTGGAAAACCACTAAAGAAAACAGCAATTAGGGCAAAATCAGCAACAGGGAAACGTGTCCATGCTGTGTAACTGAAAAGGAAACAAGAAGTGGCAAGGACAACCAAGAACGGGAAGCCAGACGTGTCTTTCTCGTAGCAGCGTCTCTCACCTCCAGCGGAGCAGACAAAGTTACTGTGGGTGAACTGAGGCTACGAGGGCGTCTGATCTGCGGCTCGCTTAAATGGTTGCTGCTGTTCGCTGCCGACCCAACCATGCCGTCCTCTGCAAGCTGTTTCAGAAGGAAAACTTGGTAAGCAAGTGGCCAGGAACACTGCTTGTTCAGAGTTTACACACTTAAAGTGATGCAATTTATTATTATTGTTCTGAAATGTTAAATATGCTTTCTTAAAGATTAAACATTTAATTTAATTCCCCTGGAAGGGCAGATATTGTATGGCACCACTAACAGATCAGCACAAATGTCAAATTCAGCCCTAAGAGCACCTGTGCCCCCTTTCACTCGTTCATCTGCACCTCTCTGAATTCCTCCCACTGAGCAATCAACTCAATCTGTAGCTTGATGTAATTAACAGAAGCAATAAAAAATCCCCATCGGGACACATTTTTATGACTATCCTGAGTTGCCATGACAATGCTTGGGATTTTGCGTTACATTTCAGAGCTCAGAGGTGCTGCTTCCACTGGAATCCTACTCAGCAGGTGCCAAGGGCTTGCTGTCTGAGGAAGCACGGGATCAGATCCTCCTACCTGCATAATGGGCCGTGTCCACGTTGTGGTGCGATTGTTGTGATTGACGTAGTAAGTACGGCCCTTGGCATCCTTCCTTTCTTCCCAGCCTGAAGGTAAGCCTGGCGTGGTATGTACGTAGGCCACTGACGGCTGTTCAAGCAAGAAAGGGCTGTGTTGTTATCTTGTAATAGCTAAAAATACGTATTTCTTAGCTCTGTTGTTTAAACCCAGGAACTTGTTAACTTAGAGCATTCTTACCACAACAAACACACAGACAATTACAGTTTCTGATTACATTTGCTACAAGCTCTTCATGCAGGTCCGAGTCCAGTAACTTATTCTCAAGAACAGCCCTTTTGATTCACTTGTGCACAGATTCAGGTGCTTTGCTCAGATAACAGCTTGTATGCCCTCAAGCTTTGCAATTGGTACATTACACAGGGTCACAAGGAGGAACTTCGTGCTTTAGTGATTTTGCCTTAAGAAGGGTGGACGTTTTTGCCTTTCATTAGCATGGGCAAGTTAGAACTGCAGTAATCGTGCAGTCCAGCCAGGATCTCCCAGGTTCTGTGCCGTCCTTTGCCACAGGGTGTCAGCTGTGTGAGACTGCCGTGGGTTCAGACGTGAACCATTTTGCTGCAGTCACGGACGCTGCATTCGGGGGTGGGCGCCTGGGTAACGACAAAACCCGTAGATACCGGCTGCCAAAGGCACTCACTGCCACTAACCAAGTTACGCCACTGTCAACGCAAGAGTTGTGTTACTGCGCGCTGCTGATGTTGCCCTGTGTGCTTCCTCGGAAGAAAAGACACAGTGCTTAAACCACCCGGGCTTTTTTTTCCTGGGACAAATTTGAGGTCAGCACAAATACAGCACTGGGCAGTATCAGTATCACTTTTTACTAAAGGTATAACATCATTGCTCAGGAGGAATGTGGGTGTTCCCTTCATCCCTCTGGGAGCCCGCGTTAGACTGCAGGAGCGGTGGCAGACACAGCTGCATCGCAGTGATGGTGCAACAATTTAGAGTCGGGAAGGTGCCTCTGCCGCACACCTTTGGGAGTATTCTGCCCGTGCCCCAGAGCAGCACCTCACAGGCAGCCTCTGATTCAGGGCCCATTCATACCCCAGCTGCCTCAGTGCGGGCAGAAGGCCATCAGCTCTGTGGGCGGGCGATTTCGGTGAAGATGAGCAGCCGCAGACTCAGTCCTGCCGAGTACCGACATTCATACGTGGCTGAGAGCTCCTAAACTCCCACCAGGTGAACACAAACTGAATTCCCACCCGGAATGGATGTGGAAATACAAAGCAGTACACGAGTAAGAGGTTAGAAGTGTTTAAGGAAGACTCTAAACTTTTTGTGTATCATCTTAAAATGGAAGCAAGGGAACAGTCAGCCTTGAAAACCACCAAAAACCTTCACATCAGTTAGAAACTGACTGTTAAGCTTTCTAGTTCTAGAAAGGAATCTTCCTGGAAACGTGAAAACTGCACTGGTGACCACGCTTCTGAGGGGAAAAACCCAAGTGAGCTTAACGTAGACATTTCTATTCTTTTTGACTAAACTGAAACGCCAACACATTATGAAAAAGTGCTACTCCCACCGTACCATGTTACTGCCTCAAATGGTCAAAGAAATGCTGAGACTGGTCTCCTGGGACTTTTCTCCCACTTCATCCAAACCCCTAAAAACTGCGACCATCCAGTCACTGGATGCTCAAAACTGCTGAACAAGCCCTGCCGAGCGAGCGCTGAGCAACACCGCTCAGAGCTGTATCACCGTGTCCCCGCGGGTCTCCCTGAGACCAGCTTTAAGAATTAAGATGCATCGGTCTGATGGAGGGTAAGGGAAGGCAGATGCAGGCTAAAGCACAGCCTGAATCTACCCACATTTTCTTTCCAGATCATGCTTGATAAAGAGGATCATTACCGTGGGTTCCTCACCACCTGTGACAGTTGAAGAACGAGCTCTCGTAGACGGACCACTCTGCTGTTAAATGACAATTAATGGCACAGTAAGTAAACTCAGTGATGAAGGGCACAGGTTACTGTCACGTCTGTAGGAGGAAGGAATCACAGACGCTGATTTAATAGAAGAGAGCAGTTGGAAATCAAGCTGAAGGTAACAGCAAAGAACCCGAGTCATCAATCACTGATGACCAACTCAGGATCTCATATAGACCCACCAAGGGAACTCATTTCAGGAGTTTTTGTATCCAACTCTCAGTATCGCTAATAAGAACATTGATTCTCAGTGTTACATGTTTGTGTTTTCTCCCCACACAAGTTCTGCATGTTCTGCCCACAAACGTGGCAGTGACACCCAAACTGGATGCGTTCTGGTCATCAGTGAGTGCACAGAAGAAGCCAGAGGAAAAGGATGGAACTGATGCAGTGAATTTTCAGTAAGGATTCATACAGCCAAGAGCAGCACTGTATTTAGAAGGAAAGCACATATTCAGTTGGTAGAAGATAAATTATCGTTAGCTCAGAGAGGAGCAAACGTGGCTAAGATCAGGTAACATCCTTGTTTCAGAGCAGCACTTGGGGGTCTGCGGATCTGAACACCAGCTATGAAATGAGTGTTCTGCTCCAATCAAGTGAGAGACGTATCCCCATCCCAGCCAGACTGCTCCAGCTGCAGACACCCAGACTCCATAAAGCGCCGTTAAACACAGAAGGAGAACACCTCCGGATCAGAGTGCAGCTGGAGCCAGCTCTGTCGAGCAGAGAGGAGAGGTGGGTGTCACTGGACTGGGACCCACTGCACCGGGTACCCAGAAGAGTGAGCAAAGAGGCAGACTGCACCAGCAGCAGTTGTGCAAACGGCAGCTGTGACACACGGCTGCAAGCAGCAAACGAGACAACGCACATCTCTACAACATGAAAAAACTGCCCCGAGAGAAAACACTACGGTCCCTGCAGATGTCTGCCCACAAGACAAGAAGAACAAGCACAGGAGAGACGCCAGCTTTAATAATAAACACACTGATACACTCAATCTACTGGATACTTCCTTCAAAAAGATGCACAAATTTGCTATTTGTAGGTTCATATGTAATACAGTTCTAATAAAAAGTTGGGGGGGGAAAATCGTAGAAGAAAAGTATCATTTTGTGAAACAACATTATTTGGAAATTCTGAACTGTTTCATTCAAAAGCGTCTCTTGCACAATGCCACCTTCAGTGGCCTCTCTACAGCCACCACCTCTGTGATCCTCACACCTGGGCTGTGGGACAGAACGCGTGGCACTATCAGTCAGACCAAAGGTGCATGGTTACGGTGTGAAGGACAATCTTCTCGTAACGAACATCTCCGTATCTTTTCCTGGTTGAAGGATCTACTTAAGAAAAATTGGCAGAGCTAGATTCAAAACCACAGGAGATGCACTTCTGTTCAGTTCTGTCGTGCAAGGACTACCACAGAACGGCTTCTTTTGTCAGGGTCTACAGAATTATTCCAAGTTAAATGAATTTATGGGTCACAAAAATAGAGCTGGTAGGAGAGGCCCGTGGCTGCAATAGTTTGAAGTGTAGACAGTGCCACTGTTGTCTCCCACGCCAGCTGAAAACCTCACTGTGGGGGATTTTCTACCCCCTGACTACAAATCTGGAGTGTGGCAGACTAAACTCCTGTGTTTGATAACTGAGGTTAGTGTAACTGTGCTGTCAGTCGCAAAACGCTTTTCCCTCTCATGAACGCCCTCGTTTTAGCTGCGGAGGATGATGCTGTCGTTTGGTATCCCTCGCTACCTGGGACAGGCATGTGCCCACGCTGGTCACTGATCTAAAACTGACTAGAAGCGTCCCAAGAAAAGATGACATTCAGGATCAGAGACGGTCAGAAGGAAAGGAAAGAAAGAGAAGTGAGCTTTGGTTTACCAGGGATAACTGGGACTGTTCAGCAACAGCATCCGTCACACTGCAGGATCTTAATCTTGAAGAAGGATCTCTCTGCTGGGAAAAAAAAAAAAATGTCGTTAAGTTAAAACATGTAATTTTATTCAGTCATTTTAATTTTCTCCCATTTAATCCAAACCCCTAAAAATTACTACTTATGCTGCAATTCTTTAATTTTCATACTTCCACAGAATGGTGGCAAGCAAGGGGAAACGTGAATGCCCAGCACTCCATCCTGAACTGGTTCAGATGAACTGAGAGGGAAAGTACTGGGATACACGTCTTGTACTCATCTTCACACCCCAACTACACCATGGTATTGAGCTCCTCTAAGAGAGGAGGGCAGGCCATCCCATCTGGGGCAACACGAGGACAATTCACAGCTGCTGTGTTGCTCTGTGGTGACACTGTGATGCTCTCTGTGGAAGACAAGTTTAACTGTGTGCTGAGGTTTTCCTGAGACCAGCATCTAATTCCTACCCACCCGTGCAGAGACTCCGACTGTGTCACACTAACTCTACAGGACAGCAGCATGCCACGTACAATCAACGAACTGAGTTGTTCCCCATTGGAATCAGGAGTGACCTGAAGTCTTCTGCTCAGTTCCTCAGACAGCTCCTGAGGACTGGTACGGGACACTGGGGATGCAGGAGGCGGCGGCAGTGCCAAGCTTAGGGAATCTCCACTTGCGCTTGCCTCCTCTGAAATGGTTTCCCAGGGCTAACAAAAGAGAAGAAACTGCGTTAAGGATCTGCAGACAGACCGAGTCTTCCTTCCCTCTGCCACCTCGCTGTGAGAAACACAGCGTGACAAGCAGCCTCAGCGTGTAATGAAATAAAGCAATCCCTGGAACACACAAACATTCCGCTCAGTGTGAAGCAGGCACAGGGAAAAACGGTTTTCATGCTGACTTCAGAACAGTTTCCATGTTGATAATGACACAGAGCTTTATGACTAAACACAGAGATGATGTAGGATTAATGATGGGTTTGAATGGAAAGCGGGGAGATTGAGATGGGCCATGGGGAAGGAATTCTTCCCGCAGAGGGTGGTGAGGCACTGGGACAGGTTCCCAGAGAAGCTGTGGATGCCCCATCCCTGGGAGTGTCCAAGGCCAGGCTGGATGAGGCTTGGAGCACCCTGGGCTATGGAAGCTGTCCCTGCCCATGGCAGGGGGTGGGGCTGGGGGGGCTTTAAGTTCCCTTCCCACCCAAACCACTCTGGGATTCTGCGATTCTATGATTAAGAGATGCATAAAAGAGCTCTCACTGAATAAATTCCATCTGAAATTTTGTTCAAAATGTAACTAATTCTGCACTCTTACAAAAAACCTTTAAGAAACAAATGCCTGCCTCAATTCAGAATAAAATGCGGAACAGAAAGTACTCGTTAGTATCTGTAAAGCAAATATTAACAGGTGATGACAGTTACACAATAGTTTCAGCAATCTCTTTGTTGCTCTGAGTAACATTTAGTGAGCCAAAACTCACTTTCATAAAGAATTTTGTCTGAGATTCACATAATAAAATATTCCTTAAAGACGAATGGGATCAGAGCTTTGCAGAAACTCCCACTTGGCCTACACGTATCTACCAAATATTTACTTAGCCTAGCCATAAATTAAACACTCACCCTGATTAATAACATCTCAGAATTCTAACTAAACTCAGGTGTTTTGGGAAAAAACCCAACAGCTTCTCTTTCCACTAAATCACAACACCAAAGAAAACTGAAGTAGATGGCAGTTTTCCAACCAGCCTGTTTCCTTGCTTTTTACAACTTAGCCCGCTGTTACTCAGAGCAGAATACTGGAAGTGTTTCTATCAACGTACAGATAACAACTACAAATGCTCCTCCCATTGTCTGCACGGTGTTTAACACTGCACACATCATCAGGGCCCACAGATTCCCGGGACCTGGAAAGCATGGCTCTGTTTAGGATTGCTGTTGTGTCCCTGCAGTTTTGCTGAGGCAGTTTCCACAAACACCATGTGAAAACAATACTCTATGTTGCCTAGTAATCAGCTTACAAATGAGAAAGACATCAGCTTACAGTTCAGTCCACTTCTCAAACCCAAGAACTTCACGTACCTCAGGAATGTCTCCGGTCTCCATAGGTTCTGGTTCCAAATCCTCACTGATGTGTCTCCGAGAGCGGAACCGCCTGTGGGCTGCTTCTTGGTTAATCTGTCTGATGTTGTTATCCGAATCAGATCCCACATCACTGGATGGTGGGGGAATGAGAGCATGTCCAGGGGGAAAGAACATGAAGATAACACACGTTAAAGTAAAACGCCCACTTGGTCCATTGCTTTCAAAGCCTCGTTAATTCTTTTGGCTACAGAATTCATTATGCCAGGTTTCATAAACAGGAGATGGTTTAAGCCCTCAACCCACTGTAAATAAAACTGGAAGCACTTCCCAAATGTCACAGAATCCTAAATACCAGGTTGGAAGGGACCTCAAGAACCATCTGGTCCAACCTTTCTTGGCAAAAGCAATGCCTTGCCAAATCTTGAAGTCCCCAGTGTTGGGGCATCCAACACCTCCCTGGGGAGATTATTCCAACAGCTGATTGTTCTCAGTGTGAAGTATTTTCTTCTTGTGTCCAATCAGAATCTCCCCAGAAGGAACTTGTGATGGAACACTGGAAATCAACACTCCTTACGCATCAGTCAGCTGAGCAGAACTGGAAGTCCACACGCAAATCTACCCACCCCTCAGTGCTCGTCCCTTCCCATGAAGCCCAGAACCACTCCTGACACAGACTCCACCTTTGCCCCCGTCTGTGTCAACCGTTGTTTCCTTTTTGCAATAGCCAGCTACGTGAGACAGCAATGGCAGCTGCTGGAGCATGGATAACTTTGAACTGGCTGCATCTGCTCACTGGGCTTCACCTGGAGTGATGGAAGTGGAGAATAGTCCGGTTCCCAGGGTGGAGACCCATCTGGCCTAGGCACTTCCCACGTGCACATGCAGAGTCTCTCTTTCAGTCCCTGCTGGGCAGATGCTGCTACAAGGCAGTGTTGTGTATCTCAGCCTCTCCTCCAGGATGAGGGACTGCAACTTTGGAAGATGGTTATGTCCAGGAATAACTTCCCTGTGCCACCGTTTTGCCACTGGGCATTTTAAAGACCTACGAGACACGAATGACTCTTGTGCCCCCACGGCAGACGTTGGCTGCACAGAACTCAATGTTTTCCCTTGGTGACCAACGTAGTACCAGAGTTACTGGCGTACAACTGGGAGCTTATGTATCCTACTTGAGACCTCCTGGGACCTTCTGCTCCTCCTGGTTCCATAAACTCTTAGAATTTAAGGCTCAACAGCATCATCTGAAATTCTTCACTCGTCTCCAAGCCTGGTGTTGTGCATGAAGTCTCTCACCAGTGATTATGCATGTTTCCAAACTGCCTGTGAGGATACCCAGCTCCAAGGGAACCCCGCAGCCCTCACTTTACACACTCGTCCTATGATGCCGCTCCCTAGTGAAGGTTATGTTTTGGTATCTGCCAGCCACACATTTCTGAATCCATGTGCTCTTCTCTTCACTCAGCACAATCGGATTACAGGGAGCTTCTGAATCAAACAATTTATAAAACCTGCTTTTTTTACAGATGCTTATGGACCATTACTAATCACCGTGATAGTAGCTACTGAGATTTGACAAAATACACACTGCTTAGTAAAATACGTCAAATAATAAATGGTTCAAAACACACAGAACAAAACTTGATTCAGTTCTAACTACTATAAACCCATCAGACAAGAACAGCAAATGGTGACTTAAATAAGGGTAACACACATTTGTGTAGCTTGGCTGTGACTGAGAATGTGAGAATGTTCAAGAAAGAACAACCATCCTGTGGCAGTAAGCAACAGTGGGCAAACAAGAGCTACATAAACACGAGGCAAGCTGTGTAACTAACACGTTATTTCAGTAATTCCACGTTCAATTACACGTACGTCTGGAAATGCAAACTGGCCACAGCTTTATCAATCTGGTCAGGACACATACCTAATGAAGGCTTGAAGAGGAACTCCACAACCAGTGCACATAGGTAACGCAGTCTGCATGCTAAATGATCAGCAGCATCTCTGCTAAGTTAATTAGTTTAACTTCAGTAAATCTTAACAGATTTGACTGGGGTTTTTTTCCTTACCTTTTCAACAGTCTCTATAGTGGAAAGGAATTTATTCCTCTTTAATTACTTATTGAAAAATTCCACACCTGTCTCCCAGTATTCAAAGGTACATTGTTAATCCACTGACTTCCCTCCCACCCTTTCAGATTTCCTGGAGTTTCCCAGAATACCTACATCCTTGCATGATTTTCTGGAGGTGGGGAAGTCTCTTTCATTTTTAAAAAAAGATGTTTCCTTTTTAAGTGAAGATATCCAGACTTTGGTTCTCAATTTACCAGCACATCTTTAAAAATGCTTCTGTGAACAGTTTCAGATACACCGCCCAGCACCAAACTGAGATCAAGCTGTTACTGAAAAGCAGCGTGCCTTTGCTTTGTGTTGCCTAAGTTACTTTTCCCAGCCTTGGATCTGTAAGTCCAAACTGGCTACGTTTGCTGGAAAACACCCCTATGTGTGTTGACGCTTGTGCACCCCCCCCAGCACGGCCCTGCACTGGCACTCACATCAAACTTGGCCGATGCCACTGAGTCGTCCTGTTGTTGTGGTTGACATAGTAAGTCCGTCCCAGGTTGTCCACCTTTTCTTCCCAGCCAGGAGGCAGAGGAGGAGGTGGTAACTCCTCCTGACGGTGAGATGCGGAGTCACTGGAATCAACCACATCCCAGCCATGCTTAGGAAGGAAGAAAAAGAGTAAAGATTGTAAAGCTCAAGTGACGGAGAAGTTATTTCATTGTGTCACAGGACATTAGCATGTAGGTGCTGACTCCGAGCATTATCCACAGAGAGGTTGTGTGCACTGCCAGAGGGGGAGGAGAGCAAGCTGCTGCTAAGGTTTTACCTCTCAAGGTACAACTCCTACAACTGCACTGCAATCTTGAGTAACTGGAATGGTTCCCCAAGCACTAAGCCTTACCTCAGAGTCATCCCTTTGTTCACTGTTTTCTTCCTCCTGGCCACCATTTTTAGGCATATAAGCCATCTTCAGTCTCAAGAAACCCTTCACACGAGATTTGTGGCTAGAAGACAAGAAGGTACATTTCATTCTCAAACAGGTGCAAATAACAACCCTTGAAGTAAGAAATGCTTTACAATACAAAGGCTCCCCTCACCTCCTTGGTCTGAGAAGGAAATCCTTAAATGTGTATGGCCTTTCCATGGTTGGGTCTTCAGTCTGTAAGCGTTTAAGGAAATGGCAAATTAAAGGGCTTGCCCAGAAGTAACATTATCAGGCTGACAGGTTACATCTGATTTCCACTGAACTGTAAATTTCATAAAGCCTAAAATCTTGAAAGCTTTCTATTACACGAGAATTTCAACTTTCTTATTTGGTAAGTGACATCCGGCCTGCCTGTGAGAACAGGGATGCTACAGGTACAAAACCAGGAACTGACAAATGGCGAGGCAAATGAGAGACTCAGAAATACATGTCATCTCTCTGTCGACTGTTTGGGGTACTTCATGCTAATCGACGTGTGCTTTGGGCCGACAAAGTGGGACGCACGGACGGCATAACAGTGAAAGGGGAAGCACGTTATCACGCACACGCCAGCAAGACCAGGGAGCAAGTCCCTCAGAGTCACACCAAACTGCCTCAAAATGAACACAAAGGCAGCAGGTACATCTCAGGACACTGCATGCCTGCCACCCACCACACAGTCAGTCTGCCTGTAAACCCCCTCCCCGCCTGAGCCCTGCATGCAGGAATACTTTGAGTCCAATTCCTTACCCAAACCTTTCTAAACACAGAATGATCTAACGCCCTGACCAGCACTCATTAAATTTTGCTGTCTGCTGCATTTCAACATCCATAAGCAAGAACATAAAACTCAGCCCAACTCACTACCCCAGATGACGTTTCTAATACCACACAGACCTTCTTCTCGCTGACTGAGCTCTCATCCTGCAAGGCATTTCCTGCACTGAGCGTCCACTTTGTCCATGACAGACTGGCTTCCCATTTTAAGAAAGTGTCAGGATGAGCAGCAAATCCAGGATGTGGAGAAATTTAACAGATACCAGAGAACAACTGTTTCCCTTGTCCCTGCAAAGGGAACCATTTCTCCCAGTTCCTGTGCAAGGAGAGGCTTTGTTGTCAGTAACATATTTTTGCTGGGAATATTTCTTTCTGTGCTGGGAATATTTGTTATAAGAGGATTTAACTGGACTAGTTATGGAAAGGAGTTCTATGTTAACAGCAGGGTTTTCCACATCTGGCGATGACAGAAGAGCAGGCTGAGCCACACGCACTGCTTACCGGAAGGTGACTAAGTGGCACATCCACCTGACCCAGGAAGTCGTCTCTGGTCTGTCAAAGAGGAAAAAAAAAAAGGCGGAAAAAGAAGTAGTTTTACACCAGAAAAGCAAAGAACTATAAACATCTATCCAGTCACAATGAAGCAAAAATAAAGATGGCAAAAAAGTTATTTTGGCAATCACTGGTTTCTACCCCTTTATTGCTGTACGTTATCTGCTGGTATCATTTGCTGCAGCAGAGCGTTTTCCGTGACAGCCCAAAGCGGCCTCTCAGTCCATGGTGAAGTACTGACGAAATGCTGTTTCCTCCGACAACCTCTGCATAATTCAAAGCACCAAGTAATAATCTACTCCCCCCATGGAGTCTCGGCATGCATTCATTACACATCAGTGTGAAACGACCCGTCACCGTGCTGAAATGTTTCTGTCAACCCTTGGTGACCTTTTTTTCTGTTTCAGACGAAAACCCCACATGCACATCTGACAGGGAAGGGAGGGGAGCCCAACATCCCAACAGTGAAGATGGAACGGCACGAACTGCCAACATTTTTACCCAAAATACAAACCTGGTTTACCCGTTTACCAAGCAGAAACCGAACTATTAGAACATTCTGGGTTTTTAGAAGAATGCTGTTCCATTAAGTGAGAATGTTCACTTTGTGAGCATTATAAAGCCCTTACAACCAGCCTTTTGAGCAATCCTGTATTCCCACTTGAAGACTTGACCATTCAAACGCCGCTTCCAGTTAAGCAAGCTGCTGCGGTGACACCAACACTGGGGCCACAGAACCCCAGTGAATTCCAGCACTCCAATCTAGCCTGGAAACGTTATATTCAACAGTCTAAGGAATGAAGTTTTGGTAACTGATGAGGTATGAAGTAATTAGAATCATAAATCATAGAATCATTAAACAGCATATATGTGTTTGCTCCGAGATCTGGAGCCTCTGTGTGAGCTATACTTGGGATTCATTAACAAGAGATGAGTTTTCAAAATAAGGCATATTGTATTCTTCAAAAATCAACCGTCAGGAAAAGCAATTTCTCCCAGATACTGTTCATGATACCAGATATCAGCCCTGGTGTTTCCCAAATAACCTGCTGCTTATTTATAACCACGCTACGCACAGAATTCCAGGAAGTGCAAACTGCTGCTCCAAGTCCCAGTTTACATATTTCTCATAGCAGAGCATTAAGTTTAATATTAAAATTCATATTTTATTTGATAACACCATGAGAATTCTGTTTCTATGACAAAGATAGCACAAAGTCCCGTCATCCCCAAAGCACGGACACATCCTGCCATGCCATACGCCCATGGGACAACACAAAAGGCTGCCTGCAGCAAGGAGCCCCCGCCTGTTCCAGATTTAAGTAAAAATAATGAATAGATCTTTCATCACTGAATTTTTGCTATTAATCTTCCTAGCAACTACTGGAAAAACCTGGTAGCATGCACTGCTTTTAGAGAATTAACAGATTTCTCCCTTAACACTGGAAAATAACTGCCACCTCCTGCTTCAATGCCGTCATTCCGGCATCAGCTACTCAGAACACCTATTTCCAGATGTGTTCATGCAGCGTTTAGGTCAAGAAAATCACAACGCAAGGACACGGAGAAGCGTCAGGTTGGTCAGAAGCAGAGCTGTGACAGACAGGGATGTGGTGTCACTACAGGCATGGGGAACAGCGCCCTTCCTCCGCACTGGGGATGGGGAGGGAACCCCACCGCGGGTTACACGTCTCCACTTGTGCCCAGGCCACGTCTTCAGGGTCTCAGAGTCAACCCAGCCTTACGAGCTGCTGATCCAACAGTGTCTGCCTGTAGCTGGAGTGGAACTGGAACATCCACAGCTCTAGCCTGGCCCTGCCAGTGAGCTGCAGCAGCAGTTCACAGAGAGCCCTTCCCCAGCTCCTCCCAGCAGGAGCACGGGCATCTTCACCAGCACTGGGGTCCTGGTAAAACCAAACCCTCGCGCAATGCCTGACGACACGTCTGTTTACAGGAACAAGTACTGAGTGAGTATGGGTATCACCTGTGGGAAGGGTCGGGCTAGGACGGAAAAGCACAGGCAGGGAGGGGTAGAGCCTGTCTCCGGTGCTTTGTAACAGCCTGGCTGCAAACCCTAAGACAAAGCACAACCAAAGCTACCTCAGAATTTCCTATTTAGTCTCTAATACTCCAGAGCACTCTGAAAAACTCACGCCACCCGCTGTTCCAACCTATCGCTCGACAGAAGGGGTTGGTTTGGCTGGTGTAGTACGATGACTTCTGAAGAGAAGAAAGTCAGGCAAGAGAGGAACCGACCTGCTTGGTAAAGAGACTCCATCCGATTCGCATGCCACATCACACACTGACTAGTATTGCTCAATTCGGAATTAAAGGAGGGCAAAGCTCCACTTCAGAATAACGGAGTTTGAAAGGAAGAAAAAAGCTCATGACTGAGTTAGTAACGAGGTATTGTTTTTAAAAAGTGCTATTCATCCAGTTTTACAAAGGATGTAAAATCCCAAGACTTCAGACACCATCCTATTTTCCTGCTAGCTCTCTCAAAATTTAATCACTTCTATTTTTTGGCACAGATATAAATACCTCCTCTGCCTATTTAGGAAACCCAGATCTGCCCAACCATCTAGTTTATTTATGCATCAATCTGGTTGAAAAGCAGTACTAATGCAAGAATCCTTTCTTCTCTCCCACGTGCTCAAACACATCGGCATGTCAGCTACACTGTGTGCTGAATTTTCTTGAGCATGAGACTGACCTGTTACAGCAAAACCTGGTGACTATCCCCAACTCCACGTATAAACACAATCTCAGACATCCCAGCAAATTCTAGCAGGAAGAGGTTGTTTCAGCTTTGAGGTTCATGGAATCCACCCAGAAAGATACATTTGTCCTAAGCAAGATGTCCAGTGTAAGGGAAATAAAGGGAGACACTCCTGCTGCAATACTCCAGTCAACTTACATTAAAACATAACCTAATGTGAAATGTTTCAGCTCAATCTGCAAGTTAAATCGGCCACTGAATATCACTCACCTCAAACCCAACGACTGAGTAAGCCGTGGAGGGGCTGACATGGTCAGGAGAAAATCTGTGCAGTACAAGAGCTACTCAACAGACGCCCTCAGAGCTCCCAGAAGAAAATGAACCCCCCAGCCTAGCCTTAACCTCACAAAAATGCAAGGGCAATCCCGGGAAGATGGCAGAGGGGTATGCCAGTCCACTCCAAGAAGGACTGGAGATGTGTGGAGAGGGTCAGCAGGAGGAAGTGCTTGGCTACTGACCACTCAACTCTTGCATGATCCCACCTCAGACAGTGCAGGTGGGGACAGAACCGTGGAAACCCCAGCGATTACAGAATGATTCCCTTCTGTTGTGGTGCCCTCCATTCCCTCCCATCCCACCTCCCCAAAACCACACGGAAACATCCAGGTCAACAGACTGCTTCCTCTTTGGCCCCGTGCGCAGAGTCTGCGCGAGGGAACCGTTACGCTGGACTTTACCGGTGCGTACCCACGGTACTGCGCACTTCAAAGGACAGAGCCTCGGAATTAGGGGTGCTGTGGGGTACAGGAGCAGCAGGTTCAGGCACCTCGTTGTCCTTTCCATTTAGGAAGGTAATACAGAAAAGGAGGTATGTGCAACCGAGGATGAGGTCAAGTAGAGTAAGTAGTAACTGCTGGAAGACGTCTGATGAGAGGACAAGAGGAAACGGCCTCAAGTTGCACCAGGGGAGGTTTAGGTTGGCTATTGGGAAGAACTCCTTCCCAGAAAGGGCTGTCAGGGTTGGAAGGGGCTGCCCAGGGAGGGGGGAGTCCCCACCCCGGGAGGGGTTTCAGAGCCGTGAGGACGAGGTGCTCAGGGACATGGGTCAGTGGGGGCTGGGCAGTGCTGGGGTAACAGTGGGACTGGGTGGGCTGAAAGGGCTTTTCTATCCCAAAAGAGTCTATGATTCTAAGAAAAAAAGAACCTCATTTAGATTTAGAGCAGAGTAAATATGTGTATGATTTTACCACATAGTGAGGTTTGTGTGCATTTTACCTGTGGTATCATTAAAGATGAAGATCAGAAGACAGTTATCATTAAAGACAACGGCACGAGAAAATACTTCATTACTACTGTGTTATTAGTGACTTAAGAAGCTTTAAAGAGCAACAGAGCTACTTCAAAATTCCCACCGATGTCCCATCTGCACTTAAAAAAAAGGCATTTTGGCTCTGCAGCACAAGTTGGCAGATATGTACCTAGTTGTGCCAAATGCACAGCTCGCTCCTGCGAGACGTGGTACCTCCAGCACCTCATGGTGTTACGGTACCAACGCGACACGTGACAAACAGCCTGACGCAGGCACTCGCACGGTACCGCAGAAGTCGCTTACCACCAGCTGCAGCCAGCATTTACTAGGTGCACTTAAGAAAGCAATTCAGAGAAAGGCCTGCCTGATGTAAGAGTTACAATCCATGCAATGAAATTCCTGTTTACAATCGTTGCCATTAGCACCTGGGGACAAAAGCAGATGAAGTCATCTTCCACTTGTTTCCTCCCTGGCACTGTAGAATCTTGCACCTCCCATTCCGCTCACATGAACTAGATCGAGACATGAAGCTGGCTTCAAAATCGGGACATTAATTGCCTGATCTAGTTCACCAAGTGACTCCATTAACAATTCCACTGGCATGACCGTGGAGGGGGAATGGAACAGATGAGGCAGCAACCCGAGCAGGAGGGGTAGGACAGATGTGTTGGGAAGAGGCACAAACGGGTGCCCACTGAAGGCTCTTGTGTGAAAACACGCTGTTGGTTGGCTTGGCCAGGAACCAGCAACACCCGCAAACCACCACAGTGATGTCCGTCACACCTGTGGGTGAGATGAGAGACCGGGAAGACGCAGAGGGAAAAAAATGGAAAGCGACAGCAGCACCTGTGTTACTGTGGGTTGACACCCCTCTGATGTGGGGTGAGCCTCTGTGGCTATCAACAGCCCCACAGTGGTTTTCAGAGATGTTCTGGTTCCCTGGCCAAACACCAGGTTGGGTAATCA